GCTATTAGAAACTTTGATCTTTATTATTATTATTATTATTATCATTATCATTATTCATAGTACTATTAGTTAAAGTTGTATTTATTAAATTATTTTCATATAACAAATGTGTGGGGGTCGATGAACAATCTGAAACTTCACGAAGGTGTCGATGAGCTGAAGAGTTTGGGGACCTTTGACATAGTAACAATTTCTCATTTATACAGAAAAGGGTTTGCTCTAGTGAGGAGTATGGTTTTCTGTCATCATGAGCAGCAGTAGCTATTTTCTTTAAGTTATTTCTGCAGTTAAAATACAACTGAGCATGAGCATGGGGGAATGATGACATGTGCATGCATCCTTTTAAAGTGCCCACTGCACACGAATTAGCGATTACAGCCAATATATCCACTCTTTAGTCTGATAAACTCCACTCATGATGAGGAGACTGAGGTATTCTTATTAAATGACCAATGTCCAGGTGTTTTGAAGGTAGTAGCAACATTTTTATTTATAGCCTTAGTTTATAGGAACCATTTGGACCCTTCTATGCAATGTTAGCTTTTTAGGGATTCTCAGATAGATAGAGTGCTGTGTTTCTTTAAATTCTATGACTTGGTATTGGACAGTAAATAATTTTTTTTAGTCATTTCAACATATTTCAATCTGTTGGCAATCCTAAACAGAAACTTGTTCGGTAAGGAACATAAACCATGGTTTCAAGGGCCACACATAGCATTTTCAAGTCTCCTCCCCTACCCTCTCCTTCTGCCTCACTATAGACACTCCTTACGTTTAAAAGGTTCCTTCTGAAAATCAGGAAAATCTGAAAAACAGCTACAGATCAAACAACTCTGAAAGAAACCTAAGTGAGAAATACTGCTATGTGCAATCACTGGATCATCACAGAAACACTGCCTGTTTTGAATGTCGTTATTCTTTAGGGCATGTTGAAAACTAATAATAGAAAAAGTAGAGCATTTGATAAGCCTTTCCTTACAACCAGTACTGATAGCACAACAAAGACAAAGTTAGTACTTTGCAGCATGGTACATTACAGCGCAGGGACATGTTATCCGCCTTCCTTAAACAGATTTGGGTTACACCTGTTCTATAAACTTGAACCACAGAATTATGACCTAACTCATCAACTTTATACATCTGCACATCAACTTTAGCTCTCTTTTAATTTTCAAAGCAGATGATTGCATTATAATACATTTTACATTTTCCTACCTCTTTTGAAAGCAGGTGTGAGACTGAATCAATTTGCAGTCCAGAATGATATTCCAAACATGCAGTTCAGTCTCAATGTTACAAACAAACAGATGGAATGCTGAGCAAGTATCTTAAACCAATACCTCGCTCTGTCCTATCAAAAATACTTAATGTGTTAGAGGCACACTCAAGCAACAGACAAATGCAATTTCAACAGCCCTTACAACAATCCCATAGAGAAGTTTCATGTTACAGACTACAGACAGAAGGCTACAGCTGAGAGACAGTAGCTTGGTTGAGGAACCCAAGTTAATTTACAACAGTAATAAGGACTAAATCACAAATCTTCATAGCCAAGTATCTCAGCCACTACATTATATTCAGTATTAACTATGGCATAATTAAAATCTCATTACTAATATTCATATGCTGCCCAATAACAATGGGATTCTTTGGACTGTACACACTTTTTTAGAAACATACACGATGACCCAGATACGTACGTCATCCATTTTCATACAAGTACCAAAATCTGCAAGCTTCAGATGTCCATATTTATCCAAAAGCATATTATCAGGTTTCACATCTCTGTGTATCAAGCCCATGGAATGAATTGCATCGAGAGCAAGGACCACTTCAGCTGTGAAAAATTTGGCCCACTTCTCAGGCACATCATAATTGCTCATGAGGTTGACAAGATCACCACCTGGCATGTATTCCATTACCATGTATAGGTATCGGTCATCTTGAAAGGCACTAAAAAGCTGTTTCCAAAAGGAAGAACAGTTCTGAAGACTGCCAAACTGTTAAATATTCAGCAAAAGAATCACAGTGGATTTGAAGCTTTTTCCTCTTAAACCTTTAAAGAATAATTTTGGTAAGGTATGACCATTGTTAAAAGGTTTTATGAGTTCCAGAATAATTCAGTTTACCCACCAATGAAATAAATGTGTTATGTGTCACTAAACATTTCAGCAGAAAATAAAGTATAGTATTATCAACAAATTTCTTCCCTTTCTATGAAGCAGTAACTACATCAATCACCGGACAGGATGGAAAGTGACAGCCATTCAGAAGCATATTAGATAAGAACCCATGTCATAATTATAGCTTTGAGCTTTATGTTTCAATACAAGTTTCTTCCTACCAGCGGAAATGTTAAATTTTCCCTTGTTCCAAGCCTTATTTTCCTCTTTCTTAAGTAAAAATGTTAGTTTACTGCATGGGCTACCATAACTCATCTTGATATGATTTTTGAATGGGTAGGAGATTCCTGAATTCCAGAGCTTGGGTAAACTAATGGAAGGATTGTTTTTCAAAGAACTAGCAGTACAGAGAAATGTATATATTTAAAATCAATAAATTAAATGTATGAGCAACTTACTACATATTTATATCAAATTCTAAACTCATGAAGTATCATCACATAAGGATGACTATTTCATCTATTTATAGGTTCCCTGTTTATTTACATTTCCCTTAAATTACCACTGAACTCTGTACACAAGAAATATCCATACCTGAACTACCCATGGACTGTCGGCAAAGGCCATTATATCTCTCTCTTCCCAGAAAAAAGCCGAATCTGACCTTTTGAGCATTTCAAATTTACTTAGAAGCTTCATGGCATAAGCTTTCTGTGTTATTTTATGGCGAACCTGTTAAAAAAATAATAGGTTATTTTATAGCAGGATTTAAAGAATAATATAGAAACTTGGATATAGTGAATCATTAATAAATAACAAAGTATAGTTCTCTAAGTTTATCTGAATGCTGAAAATCAACAGCCTTCAAGAAATAGGATTAAGGAAGTAGAAATCTGAAGGGTAGAACTTTCTGAAAGAAATTATGATTTGGTCAACAGCCAAAGGGAATTCACTTGTACTGTTTCACAGGATGATCAGCCACCCTCTCCCCACCTTTTTTAAACCAGTTATTACAGAGTAAAATAAAAGTCCATGGTGGACAATCAGGATTGATGCCATCACTGAGAAGTTGAGGGCAGATCTAGCATCCATTTAACCTGTTTCTGTGTCCATTCCACCCTATGCCCCCATGGGAAGGAGAAAAGATGAGAAACAGACAGAGTTTCTAGAGAAATCCCATTCTTCAAGCCATTTATTATAGCATTTAAATGTTTCACACCAGTCTATACTACCATGTATATAAAATTTATAATCCCCAAATAACAAGAACTGTATGTGTTGGCACCATCTTTAGAACAGAGAACTCTTCTGCATGCTTAATAGTCAGAATTTGGCCCTTTTTGATGGACCCCTTAAATTAAAGCCCCAAATAGTTTCAATACATATGCATCTTTCAGCCATGTGATGAAGTGGTCAATTCATTAGCGTACTGATGGATCAAAAATCATTACCAGTGACTGAGGAATGTGCTCATGTATGTTGCTCTAATGTCTCCTGTTACCTCCTCCTACTAGTAGGGAAGCTAAGAGACTGGACAGCTCCATTCTTCTGTATGAAGGAGGAATTCCTCTCAAGGGAAACCAGAGTAAGAAGCAGAAACAATCAGAACAGCACACATTCGCATATGCCTCATTCTGAAGAATTCTGGCAATATACTGTGTAATATTAATGTCTCAAAAACTTGTTATGTCTAATAATACCACTCTGACTTACTAATCCCTTACATAAAAATATAAAAACAGCCATGCTGAATTGGACCACAGACCTCTCTTGTCCAACAGTTTATTTCCATAATGGCCAACAAAATGCCAACACGAACCCAAAAGCAAAACAGGAACACACAAACACACTAATATTCTAACTCCCCATAACTGGAATCAACAATCAATGCTTCCATTACCGGAGGTAATACGCAATCATCATGGCACGATGCCATTAATTGCCTATTCACCCCACAATTTATCCAATCTAGCAAGGTTGTTGGCCATCCTTAAATCTTGTAAGGGATTCTATGTTAATTATGCACTGCATGAAGTCATACTTTCTTTTATCTGTCTCCCTAATTATCAAGAAATGTGCTGTTTTTTTAAGTGGCCATTTGCTTTTCCGTAATCTTCACTAAGCTTTCTAGTAACCCCTTGGTAATTCATAATTAGCTCATACCTTATCAATATAAATTAAATGAGGTTTTGCTCCACTATTTATTTGCTGGAAATGTGCCATACTTGCTTATGTTTTAATTTACTTTATTCATTCATTCATTTTATTTACACTATTTTGAGACTACCCATGATGCCGAGGATCTTGTGGCAGGTTAATATGAAGCAGTGTGACCATAAAGAAAAACATTATTCCAAAAAATAAACAAATAAATAAAATAATGGAAACCCAATAGCCTTATGTTGATTCTAAGTTCTTACCAGCTGTACTTCACCAAATGCACCTCTTCCAATTATTTTAACAACATCATAATCTTCCACTTTCATTTGAAGACCACGAATTCCTTCTACAATTTTCTCATCTGAACAAGTTTAAAGAAAAATATTTGTGTTATTAAAATAATATTAAGCCACCAACTATACAGAAATTTAAGACTGGTGATTACAAATGGCACAGTCCATTTAAACTGCAATGTCAAGATGTCTTCTCAGCAGAATGCAAACAGGAAACAGACCCTTTTGCAGTGCAAAGAACTACCTTTGTAAAATAAGAAAAGCAGGCCCTGAAATCATAAATATACATAAATAGCAAAACAAAACCATATTCATTAAAACAGCATTGTTAATTTTACCCACCAAAAGCAGAAACATTTTAACAATGAAAGTTATAAGAAATTTTAAGATATTTTAAAAAATCGTATTTCAACTTTTTTATCACTGACCCCCAAAGTCAAATCATAGTATTTTGGGGTTTTCCCCCCTCCAGGCTAGTCCTGACACCTGGCAACTGCCTGGACAAGTCCAGAGTTTGCTTGGCAAGATTTTCCTTCAGAAGTGGTTTGCCCTTGCCTGCTTTCCAGGGCTGAGAGAGTGTAACTGGCCCAAAGTCACCCAGCTGGTTTTGTGCCTAAGGCAGGACTAAAATTCATAGTCTCCCGGTGTCTAGCATGATGCCTTCAATCACTACACCGAACTGGTTCTCCTATTTTGTTTAGAACCAAGATAGACAGACAGACAAGGGGTACTGGAATATGATGAAAATATTACATTACTACTGATAGAGTCAATTATCATAATATGGTGACTGCATAACTTTTAGAAATTAGGGGCAGGCTTATGTGGATAAGTCAAACAAAAATGTGTAATATATAATATATCTTACAAGATAATATTCTGCATCTACATAGGGACATTATGCATAAGAAAAACTTACATCTGTTAAGGAAATTATCTATGTTTTTGTTCTTCCTCAGTGCTGGATAATCCAGATCAAGAACTAAGGAATTTAAACCATCCTAGGAAAAAAAAAAAAAAAGAAAGATTATTTTAGAAACATCATCTTTCCCCTCACCATGAATACTTGAATATATATAGCATCATGTGATGCCAAACATACAAGCTACCTATTTGCATATGATGTTTACACACCATTTTATGAACAGATCTTTCAGAATGGAATTTCTTCTTATACTTTGCATAACTGTATTGTATGATATTCTATATTTCACATACTATATTTCATATTATATATACTTGAAGCCATCTGAAAACAAGGTTAGTAAACTTCTGCTTGGACAACAGGACTTTTCTTTCTTATCATCCCCACTGTTGCACCTTTTCAATATTGCTCTGATGTATTACCTGGCTCTCTGGTACAGATTTTGAAGGGCGTTGAATGGGAAATGGGAATCAAATCTGCTGATGGATGTCATTTTGTTACCATCTGTTATACTGTCATATCTACTCAGAAGCAATTCCCTTAACATTCAATGGGAGTTACTCTAAGGTAAATACAGGCTCGTAATTAGGAAACACGCTCCCTCTGGAGATCAGGATGGCCCTGACCCTGTTGGGATTTTGTAAGTCCTTTAAGGCTTGGCTCTGTATCCGAGCCTGGGCCCGCAAGTGTGTGCATGACCCGTTTCTTGGATATATTAGTGAATACAGTGTATGATATATTCTTGGGTGCTATGTATTTTAATCTTTGTATTATTGTATTGCTTTTACTTTATTTTTAATTTTTTTCACCAGCCAGAGACACTTGTTGAGATGGGCGGCCATACAAATTGAATGAATGAATGAATGAATGAATGAATGAATGAATGAATGAATAAATAAATAAATAAGCAAATTTGTTGCTGTGTTTTCAATACAACTCATTTCCAGTTAATGAGATTATTTCAGGTTATGAAAACCTTACATTCCATCCTATTTATTTCAGACACACTGCTCAAGCTTGTCTAGATCTTTTTGAATCTTCTCACTTTCACCTAAACTATCAACCACCTTTCAAGGTTTATTCATCTGCAAACTTTATAAGCATCCCCACAACTCCATCATTTGCATCACTGATAAAAATAGGAAAACCACAGGGCTCAGGCTAGAGCCCTTGTGGCACTCCGCGATGTCTGGATCATTCTAACTGAGCGGGCACCCAAATATCTGTCACAGACTCGTGTCATAGGAGACCAACTTTCTTCATTACGTTCTAGATTCCCCTTCACAAAAGGACAATAAAGTTCCAAATCCTTTTCTACAGTATCACTATTACTAGGCACCTCCACAATGTGCTATTTCTCTACTCAGGCAACAAGAAGTTGATCATAGTTCTTCAAATATGAAATGTGAAATCATGCTTTCCACTACAATGTCCACAGTTTTTTCCTCCAAGTATCTAGCAGATTTGCCTAATATAAAGTTACAGAAAAACGATTAGTGAAAGCAATACAAATCTATAAAAGTATTTTTAGTTATGACATTGGTCATCTTCATCATGAACCACAATAAATATTCTAATCTCATGTAAATACATTGACTATTCTGATGTAACACAAAAGCATGGAATTAAGTATCGCTCAAGTCAATAAAGCTAAGCTCTGTGCAGAGGTTTGTGAATTTTCTGACTTTCCAGAAACAGGTTTCAGAAGGGTAGCCATGTTAGTCTTTCACAGCAAAAAACAAACAAAAAGATTTTTGTGGCATCTTAAATACTATCAATTAATTATAGTATAAATTTTCATTCATGACATTTAATGAATACTTGGGAACCTTATAAACCTCTTCCCTGGAATACTCTGGACTGTGCATTCGTCTAATACTTGTATTTCTTTCTCACAAATGAGCCATAACATAAAAGAAAATCTCAAGTTCTTAGCCACCCCACCTCCACGGAGAGCAAGATACTTCCAGAGTTTTGCTAATAAAATGTATTGAAGGAGAATAGGATAAGGTGACAAAAATCTCAGCAACTGGATTTTCCTTTAGAATTCAATTTATTTCCATATTAGAGTAAGAGGTGGATGTATTTTATATCTATACCTGTACCAAATAAAGTTGGAAGTTACTTTTTCTCTTCTGTATTTTCTTCCTTTTGCAATCTTTTTTTTCCTTGATTTTTCTATATTTTACTCTTTACTGAAATTTAATAAAGTTCTTAAAAAAAAAGAAAGAATCCAATTTATTTCCCAGGTTCGAAAGACGGACTTTCCCAGCCCCTTACTCAAAGCTCCTGTGAAAACTAGTGAGAAGACTATTCCCTTAGCGGATAACAAAAGAGTGCCCAGCTGGTTAGGGTATGAATCTCTCAGGCTCTAAACAAACAATTATAGGAACACAATATTTAAAATCATGTCTATTTCCAAAATATATGCATCATTCTAAGTTACTCCTTTGTGTTACTTTTTTATCCATATTGTCCATTTTGTGAGTCTCTAAGATTGGTTAACATCATTAGAAAAAAGCAAGGAAGTCCGCATTTTAACAGCATACAGTTGAAATGCTCATTTAATGCATCTTCCATTTATTTTGTAATAAACATTTGGGAGCGGTTGTTGTAAAGAAAGCAAATTAATTATCTTACAAGATGTTTAACATAATACATCTACGGACTATTTGAAGTGCCATAACAAGAACCAGTCTATTCTGTTGGTAATCTGCAAACAAAATCATGAAGAAATAGTTGGAACCGTTACAAAGAAGGTTACCAGTATGGGGTAAAGAGCAACCCTGAACATCTGATAACTATCCTAAAGTCTCTTTCAGTGGCCTAAACAAATTACAGAAAAATAACTATTTTAGTTCTGATGCTGTTGCAATTTGGGAGGAACTGATCTCAACCAAAGACAAATAAGGCAATGACAGAAATTATACTGCAGACACTACAAAACAAATGCAGCAAACACTGTCTCCAGCTTATTTTCTTGCCAACATTCTAAATTAAATGGTCAGTGTCACGGTCAATCCTTAACTGCTGAAGAACGGAGTTAGCTCTGAATGGGCCTATCAACAATCACTCTTCAAATAACGTCAACTATTATTTTTTAACTATCTTTTTATTCCACTGATATACCACCTTCCCAGTCACAGACCCAAGGCAGTTTACAGCAACAATCAACAATAAAGTATCCACTATATATAAGTAATATGCAAGTCGCAATAAAAGTGTAGGACAATGGCATTCAAACAAATGGAGCAAATTTAACCAGTTAAGCTTTAATTCTAAGGGGAAACGATTCCACAGGACTAGGGCTACAACAGAAAAGCAGCACTTTCTGGCTTTAGTTCCTCTCAGTTTGTGGAAGTGGTGTACAACAATCAACCCTCCGGGATGAACATAATGAACAGGCTGATTCAGGTAGGAGAAGCAGGTCCTGCAAGTACCCAACTGTCAAGCCATATAATGCCTTTGTAAGTGAAAACCAGCACTGTGAATTGTATCCAGAAACCAAGTGGCAACTAACGTAGGGCCTGAAAGGCAGATATAACATGCTCTTGGCAGGTCATGCCTGCCAGTAATCAGGCTGTTGTGTTTTCTATCAGTTGCAGTTTTTGGAAATATTCTTCAAATTTCAGAGCCATGGGTGAAAAATCACTCAAGAAATAATTCTGATGACCTTTAAAGAGAATTACAGCAGAAATCATCCCCAACCTTTAACAGCAATACCTTCTTCTGCTGGTATAGGAAAAGTATTTCTTATTTGCAATAACTGAATTCATTCAAAATTAAGGATTTGGGAATTGAAAAAGGAGGAAAGCTTCTCTTTGCTTTTCAGCTATGAAAAAAATGATGATGATTGAGCTGACTAGCCAGCCAATGTTTTAATTTCTTTGTGCTGTCTTGACTGAAATTGCCTATCTTTAATTTAAAATTTTTTAAAACTGAAAATGCAGGCACTTGTTTTTGTAAAAATAACTACTTTTTAATGAAGAAAGCTACCATAACAAACAATATTAATACCATTTAAAAATAGCAGTGGTTGTTCTTCTAACACATCATGGGAAAAAATATTTTCCAACCATCCATACCAACTAATTAAACTGGACTGATTTCATAAGTGAGCATCTGTTTGCTTAGTACTAAGATCATCATTCCACTTTTTATTAAATTAACCTGAAATGATATCTAATAAATTGCTTTATATGTTATTTACCTTTCAAAAATGAAATTTCTCTTTCAGTAATACAGAATACGTAGTTATAACAAACAACAAGAATGCACTATTAGAAATTATTATTACAGAAGTTTCTTGACTAGTGCATAAATTGTGATTTAAACAATTAAGTAAAAATTAGATTTAAATAATTAATTTTTTCAGGGTAAGAAAATCAAATCTATCCCACTGTAAATAGAGCAACGTGTTGTTGTCAGAACAATGATGAAGCAAGGTAATCAGGAAAAAAAATACGTGCACTTATTTGATTGATCTGATTGCCAGTTTTGCTTCCAGAGCACAATGCATGGTGTCTTCAAAGTTATAAACGGACGGAGATCCGGGACTGAAGTATCTTACAGATCATCTTCTTCCCTGTATTTATCATCATATGATCTATTCATAATTTAAGGCCCTGTTCCAAATTCCTCAGATGTCTGAGGCTTGACGGGCAGCAACAACTACGGCTTTTCAGTAGGAAGCTCACCCTATGGAATAACATTCATTATACCTTGACAAAGACAACATTGTTTCTTTTTTCCAACTCTGATCTATCATTTGGCAGTTTTTTGTTTTTGGTGTGGGATGGGGTTTGGGGTTTTGTTTTTCATTTTCGGATTTTTTTTTAGGGGGGGAGTTAAATGTTTAAAAGCCTTTTAAATATATAAAGGAATGAATTATGAAACGTTCAGCACATTCAAAATGGTACTTAGAAACCTTCATCATTAACAAGAAATAGGAAGCCATTACATTTGGAGTTTTACCTCATAATACTATGACATTTTATAACTGCGGTCAGGATTAGAGCCCACTTCTTTGCATATCAATTGTGAAAGGTTCTGGGTGGTTCATACTGTTCAAAAGGC